AAAAAAAAAAAAACAAAAAACTGTTCAAGAACACATTGGCTGCCACAAATGAGGAGCACCTCCAAAGGTGTCCTGAGCTGTTCGATTTCTACAGGTGCCCTCCCAATAAAAGCACCGGCCACCCACCCTCCGCTACTTTCTCGTTCAAGCTCAAAACACACGCACACACAAAGTGTATCAAAAAGTTTCCAGCTTGACAAGGAAATACGAGCCCCACACTGGAAACACTTTAATCAACGACTCTGACCTAGGTACAGAAGACTGAGTGAGTACAGGTTTTGGTGTAAAGGGGGTGAGACACTGGTGGTTCCACGCACATAACAAAAACTTGTTCATTTCTCAAAGGATGTGTCAGTTGACTCGATGAGTGAGTTCTTCGAGATGCTCCTCCAGTTTCCCCTGTGAAACCGGCAACGTCGCGCACGGCACGTGGTCCTGAGAAAAAAGGCAAAGGATCAGCTCCAAGGAGGAGATGGTGATTTCGCTCAATCCTAATCTAGGCAAGTAGCTCTTCCCGAAGATCCCTTGGTGTCTGAGCCCCCTCTACATTCCCAGTGCAGGGGGAGTCGATGTTAGGGAAACCTGACCGAGCAGCTGTGTGACCTTGGGCAGGTTACCTGACTTCTCTGCGTCACATCAGTTTGAGGACAAGCCCCTATGACAGGGAGTAAACAGACTCCTGCCCGCCCAGTGTAGACAGAGTGAGGCTGGGAGCTGTACCAACCACTGTCTTAGGACCTGGAGGCCTAATGAGCTGAGACAGACCAAAAATCAGCATTTTAATTAACTTTTGTCCTGTTTTGGTTTCTTTCTTGATTTTTTTTTCCATTTTGCTACTCTTTAATTTTTCTTTTTTTAAAAAAAATTTTTAATGTTTATTTATTTTTGAGATAGAGAGAGACAGAGCATGAAGGGGGGAGGGGCAGAGAAAGAAGGAGACACAGAATCGGAAGCAGGCTCCAGGCTCTGAGCCATCAGCCCAGAGCCCGACATGGGGCACGAACCCACGGACCGCAAGATCGTGACCTGAGCTGAAGCCGGATGCTTAACCGACTGAGCCACCCAGGCGCCCCACTTTAATATTTCTTAATGTCTATTTTTGAGAGAGGAGAGAGGGCACATAGCGGGGAGGCAGAGACAGAGGGAGAGAGAGAATCCCAAGCAGGCTGTCAGCACAGAGCCAGACATGAGGCTCGAGATCATGAACTGTGAGATCGCGACCTGAGCCGAAATCAAGAGTCAGATGCTTAACCTACTGAGCCACCCAGACGCCCCCCTATTCTTTAATTTCAGAGACGTTTTTGTGCTACGGTTCTCATCTGTGTCTGAGGACACGAGGCCTGGGTTCCCTGCCCGCCCTCTGGCTGGAAGCATTCCTAGCGGACTGGCCCCTGCTCCAGACCGGCCATGGTGCTGGAACTCAGTGGGCCGGAGCTGGTGCCGTTTGGTCAGTCTCTGTCCCCTTCCTCGGAGGGTTTTCACAAGGAAACCAACTATAATACGTGGCTGCGGGAATGAGGTGCTAAGTGGAGGTTCATTTGGGAGCAGAGGGCAGCGGGCCTCAGTCTGCCTGAGAGACCAGGCGTCGCAGAGGACAGCCCTGGAAGCTCGCCCTTGAAAGCGGAGTCTCAGTGAGCACCTGCCAGACACACACAGTCAGCTCACACACTTGGTAAGGACCGAAACACAGAGACAAGCACGCATTCCAAGAGAACTAGGGGGAGGGAGTGGTATACGGGATTTTTTTTTTTTTGGTGGCAAAATTCACATACCACAAAATTTTATGTTCATGGTTTGTAAAATTTTAACCATTTTGAAGCATACAAGGGATAATCTGTTTTATACCAAAAGTGCCAAGTCCCAAATCATCCAGAATAAGGAGAAAGAGATGTATTCCCACCCCCACTACCCGATTCTTCCGCCCGTTCCCTTGTCAGACAACTGGATTCACTGTTTCTGGGTCAAGAATTGCTGGTCCTTTTGTGGTAAGAGTCGACTGTTTCATTTCCCCCAGTCTTGAGATCACTAGGCACCCAGGACGGGGAGAGCTGGTCAACAGCGAGAGAGCCGAAGTGGCAAAGGCAAGCGACAAGAATTGGAGTCTCCAAGCGGGAGACGGTCCTTGAGAAAATCAAGGTTGGGGACAGGTAGTGGAAGCCCAGGGGGTCTTCTGTGGATGCTCCTCTCTGGGACTGTCTTCCTGACCCAGAGGGGGGACTCTGGCCGTCCCATTTTAGTGGCCTGATCTTGCTTGTTTGGATCCTCCCTAGATTCACTGAGATACTCAGCATCCTTGTAATAAGTGCCCTGTTTGCTTAAGACGAGCCAAGGTCACCCGTGTTTCTTTGCACGCATGAACACTTTCACGGACACAGGACTCCTGCCTCCCCAGGAATCATGACCCAAACAGTGGGGGGTGATCGGGGAGTGGTATGGAGCACTTCCAGAGAAGGCCTACGAGACTATTCCAAGCCAGTGGGTGGGAACTTGTGTTTGGAAGGAAACCTATTTTCTATCTTTCTTTTTTACATTTTTTTTAATGTTTATTTATTTTTGACAGAGACAGAGCACGAGTGGGGGAGGGGCAGAGAGAGCGGGAGGCACAGAATCTGAAACAGGCTCCGGGCTCCGAGCTGTCAGCACAGAGCCCGATGCAGGGCTTGAACTCAGGGACAACGAGATCATGACCTGAGCCAAAGTCGGACGCTCAACTGACTGACCCACCCAGATGCCCATCTTTCTTTTTTTTTTTAAGTAAATTCATCCCCGACATGAGGCTCAAACTCATGACCCTGAGATCAAGAGTCACATGCTCTACTGGACTGGGCCGGCCAGATGCCCCAAAGGAAACCCACTTTCTAAGAAGTTACTCATTTTTTTTCTTCCCTTCACTCTCTCCCCTCCCATCGGCATCCACGTATCAGCTGGTTCTGGAACTTGATGCCAACACAACTTGGCATTCAGTAATTATGTGGGCACGGTTCCCATGGTGGTAATTATGTGGGCCCTGTTCCGTATAACTGCCTAATAAATGCCGAGATGACTATTTTGGCAACTGGAGATTCAGTGGCGCAGCATCTATCCTTTAATCTACCAAGCAGAACGTTCTGGGGTAGAAGCTTGGAGAATGGGCTATTACTGAGCTGTCCTCCCCACACCTCGGTGCTAAAGGCAGTGAGTCCTGGCCAGCCCTGGAGGTGGGGGGGAGGGGGTGGGCAAGCAACTTGTGCCCTGAAGCATGAGTGACCCTCGAGCCAGATTTTCTGGAGCCCAACTACTGTGAAAACCTAGCATATCATCTCACACTCCTTTATGGTTTAAAAAGACTCATAATCATTTTGATGTTGCTAGGATGCTAGGGACTACATAATACAACAACACAGGATCCCCGAGGGAGATGTTCAAGGGCACTGAACACGGACTTTGCTCAGATTCCCAAGGGCTCTGCTCTTTCTCCCCAGGGCTCCCCTATCACACAATCTAGGTTTCGGGAGGCCACAGAATGTTCGTATTCCTGGCCACGCCATCCACTGGCCATGTGACCTTGAGCATGGCACCTAACTAACCTCCCTGAGCCTCAGTTTCTCTATCTATGAAATGGGACTAATGACAGAACCTACTTTATAGGGTTGTTATGAGAATTAGACATTCACTCATCTTTTTTTTTTTTAATTTTTTTTTAACCTTTATTTATTTTTGAGACAGAGAGAGACAGAGCATGAACGGGGGAGGGGCAGAGAGAGAAGGAGACACAGAATCGGAAGCAGGCTCCAGGCTCTGAGCCATCAGCCCAGAGCCCGACGCGGGGCTCGAACTCACGGACCACGAGATCGTGACCTGAGCTGAAGTCGGACGCTCAACCGACTGCGCCACCCAGGCGCCCCAACATTCACTCATCTAATGCATGCAAAGTGTTCGGGCCAGTTTCTGGCACTCAGAAAGCACTTTGTAAGGAAGAGCTATTCTAATTCTAGGCCCAGGCAGGAGAGGAAAAGAACAGAATTCACTGCATCATATGGCCAACTACTTACCATAACACCTGAATCCTAGAGTTGGCCTCATCCCCTCGTTCGACACTCACTCATAAAGGGATACCTACCGAGCACCAACCACAGTGGAAGGTGATCTGATACAAGGATACTTTTCCCAAGAAAAGTGCAGAGCGCTTTGGTCACGAGACCAAAGGATAAATAGAAGTGACCCAAGCAGGGTCTGGAAGCAGTATTCTAGATGGAGGGCAGCATGTGTAAATACCCCACAGCAGGAAAGAGAGCCTAGAGCTCAAAGAGGTCCCATTAAATAACAGGGTGGGAAGGAGGGGAGAGAAAGAGAGACAGAGACAGAGACCGGGCTAGCCGACCACAGACACGCGTGCTGTGGTTCTACCGCGTGGAAGAAGAATGTGGCTCTTAGGTCTCCACCCCGTCTCCTGTCCACCACATTTTCTAGTTATTTCATATTGACAGGAAATTAAGCAAATCAAAATAGGAAACAGCACTTAAGCTGCTCACTTACTTAAAACAGCCGCTTAAAAGTATCTCTGTTCCTGCACTGGGTATTTCTTCAGCGGGTAACTTGGTCTTTCAAGGATATACTTTGTTTCAGAGATAGTATATTCCTGTAACAAAACAAACCTGGCAATTGCATTACTCATAGTGTCATATAGATCAACGATACCCAGATGTGTGCTTCTGCATGTAAGAGGCCGGCGGGGGGTGGGGGGGGTGGGGGGAGGTTACCTAGGTGACTCAGACAGTTAAGCAAATGACTCCCGATCTCAGCTCAGGTATTGATCTCAGGGTCATGAGTTCAAACCCCCGCACTGGGCATGAAGCCTACTTAAAACAAACAAACAAACAAACAAACAAACAAACAAACAAACAAACAAAAAGAGGTCTATGACCCATGCATGCCCCATACATGGGGTTTACTATATATGTAAATACATGCAGATACTTTCTTTTTTCCTTCTTTTTCTTCTCTCTCCTTTCCTCCTTTCCTTTCCTTTCCTTTCCTTTCCTTTCCTTTACTTCTTTTTACATTCTGAAAGGATTCCCTTCCTTAAAAAGACTAGAAATTAACAAAGCAAAGCCAATGACTTTGCAGAGAAGAAGCAAAGTAATTCACAACCCTCTCCATGAAAATCAATATTTATTTGTTTGTATTTTTTAATGCTTTTATTAATTTGAGAGAGAGAGAGAGAGAGAGAGCGCGTGCGTGAACGGGGGAGGGGCAGCTAGAGAGGGAGACACAGAATCCGAAGCAGGCTCCAGGCTCCGAGCTGTTAGCACAGAGCCCGATACGGGGCTCGAACCCACGAACTGCGAGATCGTGACCTGACCCGGTCAGATGCTTAATCAAGTGAGCCACCCAGGTGCCCCAATGCTCATTTATGAGTGTCATCCTATAAATCTAGAACATGCCAGTGTTTATATAACTCAAGACGACCGCTTCAACTACTACGTGGTGTCGTTAAATCCATCCATGGGGGGCACTGGGGTTTACTATATATGTAAATACATGCAGATACTTTCTTCTTTTTTCCTTCTTTTTCTTCTCTCTCCTTTCCTCCTTTCCTTTCCTTTCCTTTCCTTTCCTTTCCTTTCCTTTCCTTCTTTTTACATTCTGAAAGGATTCCCTTCCTTAAAAAGACTAGAAATTAACCTCTCATTGGAATTCCTTGGAAATGGCGACAGGTCCCTTAGCTCGTGCTGCACTCCGCAGTAGACAGAGTACTGGGTATATCTAACTATGGGTTAGAAACTGTGCTCCGGACCGGTGAGAGGTCCTCCCTCAGTCCCTGAAAGGACTGTGAGCCCTCACGATGCAGGACCTCTGCCCCGTGCATGTTGAACTGCAAAGTAGCTGCACTCATGGGTCAGATGGAAGCTCCTGTGTCTCTTCGTCAGGGAAACCCACCCTGATTCCCAACCACGGCAATACCCCCCTTTCGTACGCTCTCAGGACCCCATGCACCCTCCTTGGTAAGTGTCACAACTGTACATTTATTTCTACGGTGGCCTGATTAATGTCCATCTTCCCCCCACCAACACACCCCCCTCGGAGACTGTAAGTCCTAGTTCCCGTGGAACTTTGTCAGCGATTAGGTGTTCCCAGAAGCCCTACCTTGTTTAGGTGTTGCTGAGCTCTGTGGGATGTCAGAAGACCGCACACCCTCTCGTGGATCTTCCTCCAAGTGGACTGAGAAGAAAGGTGGAATCTGCTCAGAAAATGAAACAGGTCAGAGTGTTAGGCAGCTGCTGAAAAGGATACTAGAATACAGAACGCTGTGGGCTGGTATTTACAGCCTGATGGCAAGAAAAAGCAGTAACAGGCAACCTGTACACATAGTGTGGTTTCAGTGTCCTTATTAATCCCGATGCATACGACACACACTGACGAATAAAACCACAGAGTGGAGAATGGCCTGTGTGGGGGTGGGTGCCTGTGAGGGATTCTCTTCTTCTTTGCTGCGTGCTTCAGATAGCTCTCTAAAGAATAAAGCCTGCGTTCACGTTGAAAAATTTAATCCGCCAATGTTTAACACGAAACGTAATCCCAATTGTTTTCCACCACAAGGACTGTTTTTAACGTTTATTTATTTATTTTGAGAGAGACGGCATGCATACATGCATGCATGTGAGTGGGGGAGGGGCAGAGACGGGGGGGGG